TCTTTGTCATTCCGAGAAATTGTTTTCCAAAACATAAAATTGAAAAATACGTTTACTTTGAAATTTTGAGAATTTTTTTATAATATTTTATTTAAGAAATATGATTATTTAATACAATTTAATAGTTTGACGTAAATGTAGTAATAAATAATATATAAATTTTGAAATTGGTGAATCTTAAAATATTTTTTGGCAACATATTTCACTAGATACTATTATAAGTTTACGTGCCATGGCAAGCAGGCACTAAACAAAATATAAAGTACATCCAAACTATCATGTACGACGTCTTGAGTAGTCATTCCACATTTGTGTAGCAATTTGATCCCTGACTTGTTCCATTTGAGCTGTTTGACTAGCATCAAAATTTATTACTTCTTGATCTTGACTTGACTCCAGCATGTCTTGAAAAATCATATTCTCCTCACCAAACTCTACAAACAACTTATCTAAAGCGTGCTTCTGACGTATAAAATTGTTTATTGCGCAACATGCAATAGGGATTTGTCTTTGCCTACTAAGTGGATAATTGGTAATCAACTTCAAAATAGGAAATCTTGCATTTAAAACTCCAATGCAATGTTCAACAATGTTACGGCATCAAGAGTGTCTATAATTGAACAATTCTTCCTTCCCACATAGTCTTCTCCGTCCAACATAGTCACGCAGATGATATTTATGACCTCGATAGGGGCAAGAAATCTTGGCATGTTTGGATATCCATAATCAACAAGGTAAAATTGATCTGCAAAAAAAAAGGCTTATACAGTGTGACACTATAAATATATTCGCAATAATTATTTGACGTATATGAATGTACCTCTTCGTGGCATTGGAAAGTTGTTCGAGCTTCTTGTGACTGTATCAACGAATACTCGCGAATCATTAGCAGTACCTTCCCAACCACAATATACAGATGTAAATTTCATATCAAAATCACATGTCAACATCACATTTTTTGTTACATTTGTTTTCCTTCCTCGAAAAGATGTTTGTCTCGATGCAGGAGCCCAAGCTGCAACATGTGTTCCATCTATTGCGCCTATGCAATCCTTAAAGAAAGGATATTTGTGCAAAATCTGCTCTTGCGCAATGTCTTGATTTGTCGGACGGATTATCTCAATGCCAAATGAGATAACAGCCCTAACAACTCATTTAAACCATTTGTGTATCATGTTGTTGGAATGCTGGAACTTATCACCAATAACACTGTATCGTGTAGTGTGCCCTACAATCATCATAAACATAGCCACACCCTTCTCGACGCTAACTTTTTTCCATCTTTCAGTAACCCGTTTTCTTTCAAAATGTCACATAAATTCATGAAAACGTGTTTTTGCATACAGAAATTAAGATAGCATACGTCCAGATGTCCATTCAAAATTTTTAGGATGTACATTTTTCCTGTAAGCAATGATGTTCTACAAGGTGTCCTGCCAATGATACTTCCTTTATTAGCAACAAAGTAATTAAGCACCATTAACTCTCCAAAATTTGCGTCAACATCATCTATATATAACAACTTATCATCACTCGATTCTTCCTCAATGGACTCATTAGCATGCATATTATCATCCACGTTTGATTTACTAGCCATACTGTGAACAAAATATAACCAAATTAATTATCGTAAGTTATATCAACCACCATTAATTCAATAAAACAAGCAATCAAGCATAAAAAAAGTGAGGACAAATAAACATCAGTTCTCCAACCAACAACATCATAATGTTTGTAAATGAAAACAGTACAACATTACCACAAAATGGAAAAAAAAAGTACTTCAAGCCTCGAGTTTAACATGGTACTTCAACATAACAACAATCACATATTAAAACAACAGTCACATCAAAGTAGTTCCAAGATAGGTCCTCTCTTTGCTTCTGGCATCTTCACAAATGACACCCTGAAATCGGGATCCTTGAAAGCCTTTATTGCTTTCATGTAAACCTCATTGGACACCCCTTCCATATTGTTTAAAATGTCCAAGCAAATAATATTTGAATGAGGATCTGGACTAGTAACTTCATTATCTGATTGACAACTACCTTTTCCTTTGATCTTTGCAAGCTTCTTTTTTAGGTAAAGTGTTCGAAGTTCAGTTTCTTCATTCCTCAAACTAACTGTAGATGACCACTATGCCATACAGGCATTGAGTTTATCACTTTTACTGACCTTAGGTTCCTTATGTCATCTTTCACCCGATGTTCCAATCTCGTTACGTGGACGAGTATTTGAAACCACATCGACTTCATCATCATTTTTCGTAGTCACATGTACTCCTCTATTCAAAAAATCTTCTAGCTGCCTTTCTTCCTCTGATGTGTTTGAACGCTGGGTGGAGGCACTGCCTAATCCTCCAGTAGCTATGGTCCCGTTGAATATCTCCCCAAGAGTGTGGTACTGCTTATATCCTTCCCTATTGAACAACTTGTAATCCGACTTGTTAATCTAACATTGGAAAAAGAAACCATATTGTTAGTGTGTTGAAGAAAACAATATAAAATTGATAAGATAAAAAATAATATAACACCCGTATGTCCCAAAAGTTCAGAGAACATGGATGAATCTTACACAAGCGATTCCACTTTCCTTTTAATCTATCTATGCCGTAATCAATTTTTGTTGAAGCTATCATGGTTTCATTGATCCTGCCCCATTCGTTTCTTGTGAACGTAGAACATTGCAATGCATTTGATTTCACTTTCTCGCAAAGATTTTCAATAAAAGCGTGTTCATTCTCATCCGACCATGACATTGGTTCCTTATTCCGAACTCTATGACCACCCATGTTGATGCTATATTTATATACATCAAACTATCATCAAATATACAAAACCTTCCTTAGGCGATTTGAGGACATATTAATGTATTTAATTATAGTCACATACCACCTAATGCTCAAAATCATACCTAACACATGTACCCATAATTATAAGGATCAACACATTGTCAAACCTCATTTTAACTTACAAATTCAAGAATCTTTGCAATGAAGTTACTATCAGCAGATGCCAAGTTGGAAAAGCAATAAGAAGTTACTACCAGCAGATACCAGTTGGAAAAGTAAGAAGAAGTTACTTCATCGATGCATTGCATTACCTCAACAAAAAAAGTGAGCAGAAATTTCAACTCCTTCCAAAGGACTTTGACTTGATTACTCACAAGAACACTGTAATATGTTTCAGAACTAAGCAATTCTCCAATAGTATCGAAAAGAAACTTGATAAAGCTTGCCTGAAGTATATAATGTGGTTTTAATCTACCAATAGGTTTTGAAGAGTGAAAAGCTCCTTAATGTATGGCATGAAAGAGAAAATGATTTCTAAAAAGTTTTTGTGATGTTCAGTCTCTCCGTATAAGATACAGTTGGAGGCTGCATCATCAAGTCACTTCAACAGATCAATAAATATCCGGTTGAAGTAATTCTCCTTTAGTAATATGTATTTATAGTACAGTTCTTTTGCATATTTCAGACAAAACAGAGAGAGAGAGAGAGAGAGAGAGAGAGATTGATGAGAATTAGTCATATGAACATCTCTAATTATAGGGAAAGTTGGTTGAAGGTAGACCTTAACCTAATCAAGTTGGTATATTAAGATAATTTAATTAATGGAATCATAAGACAAGTGGTGTAATATAATATCAAATGATTTTGTTTTGCTCTTAAAGGTCAACTAGGGAATATCTCGACTGAAGATACTTTTATTAAAATACCCTAAACCCACCAGAAATCTCAATTGAAGGAAAGAAAAAATTTCAGATAGGAATCCACGAAACAATTTTCACCCTCATGAAGGAATCCATTAAACTTCGGCTATTGAAGAGAAGCTGAGAAGCAATTTTCGTGGAATCCACGAATTTTTTTTATCAATCATACATATTGAAAATAAAATTCGTCACAGAATTGAAGAGAAGTAGGCCGAAGACAGTTAATTGTCAATCTCATTCAACTAGTCGCAAAAAAAAAAAAAAAAAAAAAAAAAAAAA